ATAACTAGACTAGCTGATACCCGTACTAAGCTACGGTTAAAATATTCGGTATATATATGTTGTTTTTTTTTGCCCGGATTAGACTTAAATCCCTAAATAAAAACGGCCCGCATTACAACGCTCCCCCATCTCCAACACAATTTTCTAGCCATCAAATTCTTGGTCTCTTTTTTTGTGTGTCTCTTTCATCATTCAAACGAATGGCCCCCATTATAGAAAATGGACAAACACATGTTAGGCCCATCAGTGAAGCCTTCCATCTCCCTGCGCTATAATACCCACCAAGCACACACACATACACACATACACATACGCACATACACACATACACATACACACACATACACAGATACACACATACACACATACACACTATTTCAAAATGAAACTTTCCTTGTTGGGAGGATGAAACGATGATACTATGGATAAAACAATGGGGGAAAAAAAAAACTGTCACGTGACATCCTGTGTGTATTACGTAATTTGTATAGAAGAGATAGTGAATCACGTGGCTAAATGTTGTTCGTTTACGATTGGTGAATGAGGTCCATTCGTTACATATTGATATGTACAAAGTACCAAGTTAGATTTTAAGTAACAAGAGCAAATAAAGCGCTGGTTGTGAGTGTGTATGTGTTTCGTGTGTGAATGTTGTTCGTATTTGCATCTATATTGTCATTGTACAGTAACTACACTGAGATGGTCAAATTGTAGTCAAACTAAATTTCTATTTGTTTGGACCAATAAAAAATAATGTTATCTTATTTTAAATGAAGGTTTTCCGTATTTTTTCTAGCTGGTGCCGAGCGTGACCTACAAAAAGCTTTGACTATTCTGAGAGAGGGGATCTGGTACCAGTACAATACCGCCTTGACCTTGACTCACCTGGCTGAAACCCAAGTCAAACTGTTAGTATTTGTCTGATGCTGTCTTGTTTACTTACTTAGATCCTGACGTGCCTTTCGGCGCATAGGCCCTGCCATAGGGCGGCACGCTGTCTCCATAGAGACCTAGGACCTAGATGAATATAGTGGCCAGTTAAAACTAACGAGCTCTTTATGGAGAAAAAGTTGATATTTGCGCTGTATGGAACCAAAATTAAAACGAAGCATATAAATCAAATCACCTCGTTATCAAGAAATAAACCACATCCAATATATAGAAATAAACCACATCCAATATATAGAAATAAACCACATCCAATATATAGAAATAAACCACATCCAATATATAGAAATAAACCACATCCAATATATAGAAATAAACCACATCCAATATATAGAAATAAACCACATCCAATATATAGAAATAAACCACATCCAATATATAGAAATAAACCACATCCAATATATAGAAATAAACCACATCCAATATATAGAAATAAACCACATCCAATATATAGAAATAAACCACATTGTTTATAGAAATAAAATCCTAATCATATACAGAAAACAATATAGCGATGTACATAAATAAAATAAAGTTGCTACATATTAAGGAATTTGGCCCTATAAGTCTAAACCACATAATGCAGGTCTAGGCCGCCACCAAACGACAGTCCAGAGCTCATATCACACGACCAGGTAGCAAGATGAAGTAGGTAGGGCGAGAAACGAGGGATGGAAACATGTCACAAGTTTGTGGAGCAAGCTTTATAGTGCTTAAATTCTTTTATATATGACTACTCTTCCAATGCGAGTGTACATTATTATCTTCCATTATGAACGTATATAGGCTCACCCGGGCTCACGGTTTTGATTACATTCACTGTTCACATTAAAGGACACATTTTAATTTAAAAGTAGACGTCTGTGATCTAAAGAAAGATATTTTTAACAATAGAGTAAGTAATTGAAATTGTGAAATAACTATTTTACATCCTTATTTAAATATTAATAACCGGGCTCACGGTTTTGATTACATTCACTGTTCACATTAAAGGACACATTTTAATTTAAAAGTAGACGTCTGTGATCTAAAGAAAGATATTTTTAACAATAGAGTAAGTAATTGAAATTGTGAAATAACTATTTTACATCCTTATTTAAATATTAAATATGATTTACATTTTAATAAAAAAAATATAAGGACTTCTATCAATAAGAGGATTCTCTGCTTCTAAATTGTGAAGATTTTTTTTTTGTTCAAATTTTCTTTGCATAGAAATATTTTTATTTTATTTTATTTTTTTAAGAAAAAAGTTCCAGGATGCTTATGTCTCGTCCATGCAATCAGATGAGATCTTAAAGAAAATTTACCAGAAAAATGATTACAGGCTGAAGACCAACTTAGGGATGTTCCATTACAAACTCCTTCTTGGTGACTCTAAAAAGATGGACTGTGACATTGAAGCAATGGCAGACCTGGGGCTTAAGCTGGAAAAACACATGAGCGATGACAGCCACCATTACCTGATGTCCATTTACGAGCATGGCCTGGTGGTCAGCTGGGCTGTCTCCATGGACACATTCAAGAAGTACAAGGACGAGCTCCTGAAGCACGTAGAGGAGAACAGCCTGGTGAAAGAAGTGCTTGGGAAGACTGAGGTCTCATCTGGCAGACAGTCGCTGCTGGCTGGACATAGGCTCTTTATCGATTACCTGAAAACTACTGACCTTAAAGACCTGGAGCTTCAAAAACTAATGGATAATTTAACTCTCTCTTGCCCAATTTGTAAAACCATCAACGAGGTTCTTGGGAAAGACATGTGGTTGAAAGATTTCATTAGTTCCAGTTTCCCTCAAAACATTCCTGGCCCAGAAATCAATCATTTGATTCCATTCTCCAGCTTCTCTAATATTTCTCCAATTAATCTTTGTCCACTGGAAGAAACATGTCAAGTCAATCACTTAAACTCTTTGGTGCGGCAAAATGAGTCTGAACTTGTTTACTTTTTCCATTCAAACAATGGTTCTCATACAAATAACACCAGAACTGGAATGTCTCTCTTTGTACAAAACATAAGCTGCCTTAGTCCAAATTTTTCAAACTCTTGCATAGTCAATCCTTCTCAAAGTTCAAACGATCCATACCTTTTCCAGAGTCTCTTATCTTCAAGAAAAAAACACCCTCTTTTTGTTCTAAACCCTTCAAATGTTCAGGATGTTGCCTCGGGTTTAGCTGTTCTAAGTCATAAAATAGATGAACTGTGCAGATATCAGACCCCTGAAGTATTGAATCCTTCTGGAGTTTTGGGACACAGTCATCACGAAAGATTACAAATCATCAATGCAACACAACAAAACAACACAAGTCTATCAGTAGGCGAAGAGCTGGCTTCTGTTAGTCAAACTGAACACCAAAGTCCATTTGTATCATTCAGATCTGATGAGGAACTGAACATAAGCGAATCTGTCGCGAATGCTTCTATTTCCAATGCGCAAGAAAACTTGATGAGTAGGGTGCTCACTCATCATTCTGAGCTCTTTGAACCTAAAGATGTTATGGTTTCAGTTGGACACAGATTGCAAAGTCATTTGTTCACATGTCCTTCTGGAAATAGTACTTTAAGTCATTTAGTGGCTAATGTTTCCTGTACGTTTAAATCAAACGAGGTTCAGAGTGCATTAGCTACTAGTCCTAGTTTGTCCAGTGGGTATAGCCAACTGAGTCTTTCAGTTGGTAATATTTCAGTCTCTGGTCAAGAAACAGAATTTCAGAACCCAGAGGTCACTAGTTCCCCTGTATTGGTTGCACATTCGCAACACCTTCCAGAATTAATGAAATCTTTTGTTATTATTGGGCCAAATGAATGTAAAGCTCAAGACATTGATAACCTTTCCCACTCCACAGCACAAACGAATCTTCCAAGCCAGCCAGTTATTAATGTTCTAAATGAAAGTTTGACCAGCCCTTTGGTTCTAAGTCCATCAAATTCTATCAGACAAAAGTTTCCCATCTCTTCGGCATCTACTGTTGATCTGTCAGGTGGTCAATGTCCTTCAGCTAACCCAAATCTGGATGTCCTGTTCCCATCTTTTGAGCTTTCTTCCCTCTCTTCCCATGGTTCCTTTGATCGTTTCCTTAACCTTTTGGGTGAACCCGAAGCTATGATGGACAAACTCTCAGCCCATGTTATCAATCAGAGTGCATGCTCTTCTTTTGAAGAGATCGCTGTCATGTCATACCCCCAAGAAGTTTCTAGTCCCTTGGATGGGAATGAACTCGACTTGCGAACAATGAGTTCCATTTTGTCTCACTTGGATTATCCTTCTTCCTTGCATTCGTCAACACACTGTAAAGAACTGGAAGAGTATTTCTGGGTCGGTGACCTCCACAGCCAGGAGCACCACGATGAGAACTTGCCAAGCAACCCTGTCTACTGCCTGGGTTCTGGAGAGTTCCTCGCTGAGCTCTACGCCAGCTTGGCAGACACAGGTAACCGTGCCAGCTCGATTGCGCATGCGTCTTATGCTGTTCCTGAGAATGCCTTAAATGATTCGACTGAAGTGGTTGAATTACGGGAACGGTTCAGACCATCTATTGAGAGCCAAGCGGTTGCCTTACAATAATCGTGACACACACTTTTATTAACCGACTTCCTATTACATTTTTAAACTTCAAGACAAAAACTTTTAGAGCACTGTGAAATATTTTAGTGCATAAACTCTCTTTTTTTTGTGGACTTCTTTGATTGCGATAAAGCAAAGATCGAAATTAAACATTAGGCTAAAAGTAACCTGACATTAATTCGGACTATTTAAGGATCTGGTCTGCATCTTTTCCCATGCATTTGCGAAAACAAAATACACAAAGAGCTGTATGCGAGTATCTTACGACTCCTAATGAAGTTTTGAAATGTGGATTGAGTGAGAACCTCTGCTTAAGAAATTAAGTTTATTAATTAAATTAAGTTAAAAAAATATTATGTATTTCCAATATTATAAAGTATATATATCTAATTATCTATACATATTTTGAAAGGTTCAAAAGCAACACCATAGCCGACATACAGTGCATATAGCCGTTTGTATATTACATTATTTTTATAATTTTAGACCTTTTTTTTTTTTTTTTTGCAAAGTTTTAATTTAGTTATGAGCTTTTCTTTCTCAAAATAGGCCAACATTGATGTACCAATAACTTTTGAAAACACAACAGTTTCCTATTTGTGAAGTTGTCTTAAGCTTTGATAAAAGGACCATGTAATGCATATGTGTCATGTTCTCTTTCTCAGCCTTATTGTGGTGATAATGTTATGGTGTTGGGTTTTCCTGGGTATTTGCCGATGGTGTGTTCAATTTGAAATGAGACTTTATTATCTCAAAGCATAATCTATATTATCTTTCAATGGTACGTCTTTATCATTTATTTTTTGTCAAATCGATTTACATTGTCTCCCAATATTCTCTTTTTCATTTCCTTATGTTTTTCGATAATGTCCATTATATAGTCAACATATTTCTTCCTATCGCTTTGTCTTCTTTTCCTTTCTTAATGTATATTGATGCTTAAAGTAAGTAAACGGGATATTTCAAACAGGGTGTGAACAAAGACCACATAATTATGAGTAAAGTAAAAAAAGTTTCCTTTTCAGACCTTGCGATCTATAAGGCAGGTGATGTTAAGTTCATCTGTTTCTTTGGCCGACGGTTAACGAGCAGGCTGTCACGTGGACAGCGCAACAACCAACCGCATTTATTTTCCCCAACTAAAGTCAGGTTCCCATTAGAGTTGGGTGGACTAAAATTTGGAAATTCAAAATCCCAGTCTTCAACAAGATACGAACCCAGGGCCCCAGGTTTGGAAGCCAAGCGCTTAATCACTCAGCCACTAAATTAGGACTGACTCTGCAAGCTGAGTGTATATATGGTGCGATATAACCTGAAGTAGGCCATCACCACAAAACGCGAGATTAAGCTCGCTTTTTAACTGCGCTCTTACTATTTAACCTGTTTCCATTTATTTACATCTTATTTTCAAACACACAAAGCATACTTTGAACTAGATCTAGATATTTTAACTATAAAGAAATCTCAATTTTATTCATCTTGTTATATATTCACCTCCTTCGGTCGTAGAACGACTGTGTCTCATTTCTCAGAAAACTATTCTGGGAGAACGTAACCTTCCATACACAACGGAGGTAAATGTGGCATTCGTTTTGTTGAATACGAACCAGCGAATCTTTCGTTTTTCACATTTTTATCCCTACCAGCTTTTTGGCTATTTATATCTTACTTTGTCTTCATCTTGTTCCACATATTTCTTTATCTAGGGTTTCATCTAGGGCTCTATCTAGAGCTTTATCTAGGGCTCTATCTAGGGCTTTTTCTAGGGCTCTATCTAGGGCTTTATTTAGGGATTTATCTAGGGCTTTTTCTAAGGCTCTATCTAGGGCTCTTTCTAGGGCTCTATCTAGGACTTTTTCTAGGGCTCTAGGAGTTTATCTAGGGCTCTATCTAGGAGTTTATCTAGGGCTTTATCTAGGCTTTAACTTTACATTGCATTGAGGTTCCTTGTGATAACATTTATATCCACGTATTATAGTACTAGCATACAAAGTTATATATTAACATCAATACGTGGAAGATAAGAGTGAATTATATAAAATTGCAATACTAATCAACATCCATTTGTTTTTAATTTGGTCATAATGGAACAGCATTCTGGCTAGGTTTCTATTATAACTTTCTAAAATAATTGAATCTCAAAATAATCTCAAACTCATTTTATCCTATAGAATTACTATTCCAAATACACATGCTTGTTTGTTGGTTGTATTTAATATTTAATTTTCATTGTTATTAGTGATGTGGGCTTTTTGCATTATAAAACAAAAGTTGGTTAAAGTAGTTAACTTTAATTTTTTTTTTACCGTAGAGATGCTAGATAATTAATATTCTATTATCGGTGTCGATACTATTATATTAAGTTTTTAATGTTGCATTAGAGTTGCATGTGCTATTGATATTTCATGAAAATAAAGCTTTTTGTGTCTCGATAAACTTTTGTTTTCTTAGTTCTAGAAATGTGTTCATCTTAATTAGGTGAAAGTTTATGTTCCAATCATTTAAAACTGATTTACACTTGGTAAACAGGCAATGGTATATTTAAATGTATTTCCTGGTAAACTATAATGTTGTGCAGACTAAAGAAAATCTGTTCATCCGAGTAGCTACAGAAACATTCACCTGGTCTGGCTCTGACTCTTAATGGACCAAAACTGTATGAATCAATAATTAAGATAATAAAAGGTTGGGGTTACATGTAGGCAAGACAAGCTAGAGCTTAGGACCCCCAAGGTCACCTTAGACTTAGGTCCTCCAGCACCGTTCGGCGCATTAGGCGGCAAGCTGCCTTCACAAAGATCTGTCACTGGCAATGTCTGAAGCCTCCTCCCACCTGGTGTCCACTGTTCTGAGGTTCTCCATGAAGGTGTGGCGCCAAGTTATACTAGAACGTCCCTGTTTGCGCTTTCCTCGTAATGGCCTCCATGTCATCGCAACTCTTGGTATACGTAGTTCATTTTGTCGTAGAACATGCCCCGCAAACCTCATGCGACGCTCTGTCACAACCTCACTAAGTGTCCGACTCACAGTTCGGCATAGGATGTCCTTGTTTGGGACCCGATCTGTGTAACTGACTCCCAAAATCCGTCTCAGCATAGAGAAGTGAATGCAAAAATATTTATTGTTTCTTTACTTGTAGGAAGTTTTAGGAAGCCAGGCTGGGGTGGGCCAGTCATCGATACAATGCAGGATCTTGTTGGACTACTAGTAGCATTACGACTAGCCGGAGCGTTATGTGTTGGGTTTAATCTGTTTAAAAGTTTAAAGATGTCTTTCCTGTTCTTATCTTATATGATACAGAAGTTACTTAAAAAAAGAAGATGATTACGTCCAATGCGTCATCCATCTAGTCATGCATGTTAACCAATGACTGAAATTCTGCCAACTCACGGGTTTTCCTGGCTGGCTCAGGCAACACATTCCATGTTCTAATAGCACTATTCTGATTTGAAAACTTGAAGCAGCGTATGCATATTGAAGCTCACCAGAGAGAAAGTTATTCAGGAATATATGCTGGATCTGTGAATCAATGCAATATAGTGAACTCTACCATAGTAATTTCGGACCACCACTTTTAATATAATTGTAATGATTTAGTCTTCCCGAAAGAGGAAAAGCCGCAATTAGTTTTGTGTGTGGTCTGTGCATCCATCCGTCCTACCAGCTTAGATCTCCAAAACTACAATAATGTTTGTTTTTGTTTCTCAAAGCAAACCATTTTATTTTTTTAAATTCAATATGGAAGTAGTCTGTTTCATAAAGATACTCCATTTTTACAACCATTCACTATGGATAGTAGAAATACTAGAAAACCTGTTATTTTTGATGTTATTGAATAGTATTCTACTTACTCATTTTCTAAAGGACCTGAAGAATGAAACTTTTCCTTTTGATTACATCTCTATATTATTTCCATTAGTTATATGTAGATTCACTATGCATCGGCATGAGGGTTACAGTGCGCATAATTTTAAAAATTGCTTACAAAATAATGTTTTAAATTATGTTTAACTTATAAGCTTACTAAATAAATCCTTTAAATGACTTTAAAAAAAAAAATAAACATTTTATTCAAAATATGAGTAGCTTACATTACAGAACATACTTAATTTAGTAATAAAATATTTTTTAAAAACATTTTTTCAGAAGAAAAAAGTTTGCGTAACAATTTTTTAAATATACAGGAAAATGACTTCCCTTAGTATTATAGTATCCCATGTTTTAACTATTCATAGTAACAAGCGTTTATCTGAATTCAAGGCAGCTAGGCAGTTGTGTAATCGAATATATACTTGCTAGCACTTATATACCCTCAAAGTAATAAACTGTGTATCATGCTTTAAACGTTTAGTATAGTTCAGATTAGCTAGTTTGCCTCCCTTCAGTTACTGTTGACACTTACTCCATCTTCCTCTGACTTGGAGACATTGCGAACAAAACGGCTGAGACTTTCCGTCTCACTAGAGACATCGCTTGTTTCACTAATGGATGGGTTTACGACTGATGTCACGCTCGCAGAGATCGAGCAATACGCTTGTGAGCTAGTTACTGAGATTGCCTCCTCTGTTACAGACATGTTACAAACCGTTACGGAAATAGTTTCGTCTTTCTGAGACGATTCGTCAAGGACACTTTCAGTTTCCGATTGGTTGCAGACCGTGTCACTAACTGAGTCGCCGACAGCTTCTTGTGTTCTGTCGCCAGGTTCAGACTTATAAACCACCCTATGGTCAACGTGTCCTTCGTTAGCACAGAAATCTTCACTTAATGAAGTCAAGTGACCTATACTTTCAATAAGCCGTAAGGATTTGTTCCACGCATAGTTTCGTACATCCTTACATAATATTTGGCAGTACACACAAGCTTCAATAACAAAACCATGAATCTTTCTAGGGTCAATATTTTCTGTCACAGTTTCTGTTACGTAACAATACATTAAGTCATACTTTGAGAGGATCAATTTTTTGACCTCTACCTTGGTGTGGAATTGCTTCTCCACGGACTCTCTGTGCTTCAGGAAACAGGACTTGTACTTCTCAAAACCATCCTTGGAGTACCCAGCGTGCAGCAGCATTCCATGCACGCAGGCTAAAAGATAGTTGGATAAGAAATCGAAGCTGTCTCCTCTGTTTACGCTCTCGAAGTCCAAAATATCTTGCATATACTCTTCAGGCAGTTTTAAAAGATCCATTTTGCTGAACTCAGGTTCTGAATACTCTAATTGCTTTTTCTGTATTCCAAGAACTATCCTTAAATGTGCAAGGTCCAAGAGAACTTTGAGTCTGTGTCCATTGTTTTTGGCATTTTCTTGTAGAACTTTACACGCTTTCATGTTGAATTGAAAAGCTTTGAAATAGTCCTTTCTGGAATGTACACAAGATATGGTTTGTTAGATATTTAAAATGTGAATATATGGGGATTTTATTTGTCTTTAATTTTTAAAAAAAAAATGAGAAAAATGGGAAAATTGTGTAAAATTTAGGAAAATGCATTAAACATATAATTTGTTCGCTTTAATTTTTTTTTTAAAGTTCATCTTTGAGCGAGTGATGTTATTATGACATACCAGGACAATGGTTTTGTGACTGCTCTGAGATCTGGGGCCTTGGGTTTTGTGTGCCAAACGTGTTGCGTTACTGCACTAAAATTTGGGGTGCATGGTAATGTGTAACTACATTGAGTTCTGGATCCATGTTGTGATACTGTAATCAGATCTGGACCTATTGTGTGATACTGCAATGAGATCTGGACCCATAATGTGATACTGCAATGAGATTTGGACCCATGTTGTGATACTGCAATGAGATCTGGACCCATGTGATACTGCAATGAGATCTGGACCCATATTGTGATACTGCAATGAGATCTGGACCCATGTTGTGATACTGCAATGAGATCTGGACCCATATTGTGATACTGCAATGAGATCTGGACCCATATTGTGATACTGCAATGAGATCTGGACCCATGTTGTGATACTGCAATGAGATCTGGACCCATATTGTGATACTGCAATGAGATCTGGACCCATATTGTGATACTGCAATGAGATCTGGACCCATGTTGTGATACTGCAGTGAGATCTGGACCCATGATGTGATACTGCAATGAGATCTGGACCCATGTTGTGATACTGCATTGAGTCATGATGGAGAAGAAAAAGAAAAGAAAAGTAAACGATATAGCGATGGGGAGAGACAGAGAAAAACATGCACAATCAGAGAGAGAAAGAGAAAGAGAGAGAAAAATAAAGAAAATAGAGAAAGATGAAACGAGAGTAAGTGAAAGAGAGAGTTGGAGAGACAGGGAGAAAGAGAGAGAGAGAGAGAGAGAGAAAACAAGAGAGAGAAAAAAATTGAGAGAGAAAGAAAAAGAGAGACAGAGAGAGAGACAGAAAGAGAGAGAGAAAGCGAATCCATGGTAAGTAAAAACTTACTTCTGTGTATTGATCTCAGCAAGATGATTTAATGTTAAAGCTCTATCATTAAAATGCCAGTTGGTCTCTTGCAGAATGTCCAAGGCTTCATGAAGGTATTTTTCACAGTCCCTCAAGGAGTCTAAAGGAGAAGCAAAATAAAAAAGCCAGATTTAATAACCCTACAATTATCTCAATCTCAAGTCAGTCACACATTGATCATTTTCTGATTGCTAGACCTTTTTTAAAACACATATTTATGAATTAAAACAGTTTGTTGGTTTGTGTACACAGCTGGCGCAGCTAGACATCATAAATTGCTCGCCTTTTTCCTTCTCATGCCACGGATCAAAGCTCTATTTGCTCTAGCGTCGGAACCGCACGCGCAGGCAATGGTTTGCCCATTATTCAGAGGCGCGACCTTTGTAACGCAGGATGCAATATCCATCTAGATCTAGTAGGAATTATTTAAAATCAGAAAGAAAAAAAAATACCTTTGTCTTTGGAGAGTTTGTAAGTAAGCATGGCTATGTTATTTAAAGATATCACAAGAATGTACGGAGTTATCTTTCCTAACCGGCGCCGTACTTCTAATGACTTCTTGTACCATTTCAAAGCCTTCGGCAAGTCTTCACCTTTCGATAGAGAAAAAAAAAGTATTTTAAAAACAAAAAAATATATAACTGCCACATTTCTCAATACTCCAATATTAATATCCTTTTTTTTCTAAGTAAAAAAGCTTAATTACCTCTAATTGATTAACTATTTGTTTATTTTTTTTTTATTGATTCGTGTGTTGTCATCGACATCGAATAATTGTGCACATTTTGACTTCATCCGAGTACGGAAAGTGGTAGAAAAAGCGGGTACAACATTCCACCCAAACAGAGTGACAGAGCTTTTTAAAAATACATGTGCAAAATGTGCATAGAAGTCTTTTTATTTTTACATGTTTCGAATGTTCCTTCAGATTTTGAAGATAATTACTTCCTAGCCCAGAACTCCCGCAGGGCGACGGGGG